CTGGGCGTACACGAGAGGTATCTCTCTAGATACCTCTAGATACAGCAAGCCCTCTCCTCTCATAACATAGTTAAATTCTCTTCTCCACACCTATTTTACATAGTTCAACTGACCATCACCCTTTGACCTTCGCATAGATCAACTTCAGAATGCCTTTGTGTAATTCTTAATCTCAGAACGCATCTCGTGATACAACAGTTACAACATCAAGCAACAATTTATAGCATTATTTGTTCTCTAAAAGGTGACAGGAGCAAGGGAAGCCCAGTGCTGGCATTTGATTACCTGTGTGCATGCACTGAGACAATGCCATAACATTTCCTGCCAAAAATACCAGAAATTTTCTAGCATGCAGCACTTTGGGGCGTAAAAAGCACCAGGAAGTAGCGAATTCCCCCCACATACAACACTGAGCCCCAATCTGAAGTAGGTTGGGCAAATGTCCTGCACTGGAAGGATGTGTTTGCTTGTTTTCTCCAAAATAAATATGGCTAGGACAGGCACTGCTTGTTGAAAGGCCAGGCTGGCATCCTATGGAAGCACATGTGTCCATACTAGTTCATACTTCTATAGACAGAAGGCAGCAAATCTACTGTGTTCTATGGTGGACTGATGGACAGGGGTTTGTGATTCTTAGTTACTTAATAAGAAGAATATAAAACTTTCACCATTGGCTGTCCCATACCCAAAATGTAGGCTACAGAAATGTGAAGAATGGGTAAAACCAAGGAACAGATACCTGTCCAGTAGCACTTTGAACTCAGCTCTGTTTCTGAAAACAGAGCTGTTTCTGAAATTCAAGATTTAAATCTGTGCTCAAAGGCATCCTTTGTTCTTATTTCTCTATCTATACACCTACACCGTTTTGCACCTTTTGTTATGTTTTGAGAAGTCCAGTTACAAACAAACCAAGAAACCCTGCAGGATGTGAAGTTTCCCCACCTCTGCTGTACAAAGGACCAGCCCTCCTATTAGGCAAAAGTGAGTTGATCGCCTCAGGAGGCAGATGCTGGTGTTTCCTAGACTCCACTAGCTCCTCTCTCTTATCATACAAACTGCCCTTAATCCCCTCAAATAGCCGGATGCCTCTGATTCATTGGAGGATGCTTTCATCTTACTAGTGCTCAAACAAGATTCAACTGACAGTCCATATGGCTTCCGTATGTTGCCTAGAGAAAGGGCACCATTTTGTCCTTTTCCTTTCTTGGGCTGCTCTTGGTTGTACATGTTCCCTTCTTTAGGTTTTAGCCTCTCCTCAGGTCATCCATGAAACCTGGTGGAGCAGGGTGCACTGATGCAACCTGACTGGTGCATTGTATATAATTGCACATGCCTGAACATTACAATACTGAAAAAAGGGTAAATTGCAACTGGGCATAGCTCATTTGGCAATAGCACATATGACTGGTTGTGGTTTCTGAGTATCCTGTTGAACAAAATAACAAATGCCTTTGACTAGATATAGTAGCCTGACCCAAGTGGGGTCTCATTAAAAGACAGGCTCTTTAGATCAAATGGAGCAATATGTGTCCCGTTCATTGTCTGCACATCTTTTCAAATATGATCTGATGTGTTTGGGGCCTTTCCTGCTCATTCTGCTAAGTGTGGCATTAGCCTTCTGCCTCGAAATTTTACCCAGGTTGCACCACTGCTATGACTAAACCTAATCTATAGCTAGGCAGATTTTTTTTTTCAGTAAACAACCAAAAAGAATTTGAATTTCTTTTTGTTTCTTCTCATGGGGTGGGAAGGCTGTCTTGATGTATTGCATAGGGGGCCTTAAAATTGGAAGGCAAAGGACCCCGATGCTTGGATGCCACCTGCCCTTGGTTCATTACAACATCTAAAATGTTTAGGTAATCAAATAAACACAAACAAAAATGTTAAAACGGCAAAAATTAAAATGTTTCAAACAACGAACAAAAATTAATTAAAGCCAAAGGTATCTTTAAAAAGCTTTTGGAGCTGGTCATCAAAATGTTGACAGCAATGCAGCCATATGGGCCTCCACTGTGATGTCTCCATAGTGTGGGTGCTGCAGTCCGTCAATTCTCACTGAACCACTATTCATATCTCTCCCTTCTGCCCAAGGGTTCATGACGGCACGTACAGTCTTTTTGTTCCTTCTCTGTTTTATTGGTAACAACAGCCCTGTGAGACAGTGATTGGCCCAAGATAATGCCCTGAGCTTCCAGAAAAGAAGCAGGATTTCCATTTTTGTGTCTCTCCATTTCCAATACATGTAACAACTATATCACACTGATAAACCTTATGCCTGGGGTCTGTCACTTGATCCATGACTCTTAAATGACTGAATGCTCCCGCACACCAGAACAAATGAATAAACAACTATTTGTATAGAGCAGCATAATATATCAGTGTCATGAATTCTAGCTCAAGCCAAAGAGAGTGAGAATGTGGGAAACTAGATATTAGTTCTTCATTCGTACTTAAGACTTGAATCTCATCTTCCTTCCAAAAAGCTGAAGGCTACATATGTGGCTCTCTTCATTCCAGCTTTAATGCTCACAAGACATCTGTGAAGTACAGTACGTCACACTAAGACATTACAAATGGCCCAAGCACACTCTGTGACATTCATAGCCAAGTGGGAATCTGAACCCTGGTCTTCCTACTCCTAGTTCCAGTATTCTGTGTATTACACTATGTAGACCAGGAAGGAGCAACTCCAGATGTTTTTGGAGAATAGCTCCCATCATCCCTCAGCATTGGCTGGGTTTTCTAGAGCTGAGGGTAATCATAAGCCAATAATTTAGGGAGGGTCAGTTTGCTCACCCCATAATTCCAACAC